TACCTTTTGGATCCTTTTGGTGCTTTTTGGGGGTTCTGACGTTCTAAGTGTTGGATTCAGCAGCTAATTCCGTAGGAAACATAGACATAATTTCGTACCATTTGGCTTTTCTGTCCCATATGTTTTGCAAATATTGGCGTTCTTTATCTCTTGAACACTATGCATTTTGGTGCTTTTTGGGGGTTCTGACGTTCTAAGTGTTGGATTCAGCAGCTAATTCCGTAGGAAACATAGACATAATTTCCTACCATTTGGCTTTTCCCTCCCATATGATTTGCAAATATTGGCGATCTTTTATCTCTGGAACACTCTACCTTTTGGATCCTTTTGGTGCTTTTTGGGGGTTCTGACGTTCTAAGTGTTGGATTCAGCAGCTAATTCCGTAGGAAACATAGACATAATTTCGTACCATTTGGCTTTTCCCTCCCATATGATTTGCAAATATTGAATTGGCGATCTTTACCTCTTGAACACTATACCTTTTGGTGCTTTTTGGTGGTTCTGACGTTCTAAGTGTTGGATTCAGCAGCTAATTCCGTAGGAAACATAGACATAATTTCGTACCATTTGGCTTTTCCCTCCTATATGATTTGCAAATATTGGCGATCTTTTATCTCTGAAACACTATACCTTTTGGTGCTTTTGGGGGTTCTGACGTTCTAAGTGTTGGATTCAGCAGCTAATTCCGTAGGAAACATAGACATAATTTCGTACCATTTGGCTTTTCCCTCCCATATGATTTGCAAATATTGGCGATCTTTTATCTCTGGAACACTATACCTTTTGGTGCTTTTTGGGGGGTCTGACATTCTAAGCCGTAAGAGACATAGACATAATTTCGTACCATTTGGCTTTTCCCTCCCATATGATGTGCAAATATTGGCGATCTTTTATCTCTGGAACACTATACCTTTTGGTGCTTTTTGGGGGTTCTGACTTAAATTTATTAATTGATTTCTGCAATATTTTAATATTTTTCAATTGATTTCGAAAGCGAAAAAACTAGTCTTTTTATTAAGGGTTTAAATTTATTATTAGGATCCGCTTCGAAATCCAATTTTTGGCAATATTTTAATTGTGTTATAAGGAAATTTACCTGATTTTGAAATCGAAAAAAACGGTTTTTCTTATTAAGGGTTTAAATTTATTATTTAGGTCCGCATCGAAATCCAATTTGTGGCAATATTTCAATTGCGCTATATAAGGAAATTTAATTGGTTTTGAATCGAAAAAAATAGTTTTGTTTTATTAAGGGTTTAAATTTATTAGGGTCCGCTTCGAACTCTAGTGTTTGGCAATAGTCTTATTGCGTTATAAAAGGAAATTTAATTGATTTTGAATCGAAAAAACTAGTCTTTTTATTAAGGGTTTAAATTTATTATTAGGATTCGCTTCGAAATCCAATTTTTGGCAATATTTTAATTGCGTTATATAAGGAAATTTAATTGATTTTGAAGTCGAAAAAAATAGCCGCTTTATTAAGGGTCTAAATTTATTATTAGGGTCCGCTTCGAAATCCAATTTTTGGCAATATGTTTAATTGCGCTATATAAGGAAATTTAATTGATTTTGAAATCGAAAAAATAGTTTATATAGCGACGGACAATCACTTAGCACGTTCTAAGTGTTGGTTTACGTTCTAAGTGATAAATGGGCCTAAGTGATATTTTGACGTTCTAAGTGATGAATTTTCCCTACGTTCTAAGTGATGAAATTTTGCTACGTTCTAAGTACGAAAAAAAAAATGGAAAAAAAATTACGTTCTAAGTGATTGTCCGTCACTATAACATGATCTGTGAAAAACAAATCCGACTAGGCTGGCAAAGCCTGGGAGCCCTCCCCACCTTCAGGATGCGATAAGTAGAGGCTGGCAAAGGTTGATAGTGCTGTCACTGTCTGAAGGAAACATTCCAAAAAATCCAAAATTCCAAAAATTAGATTGAGCTGCATTTAAGGTAATCACCGTTGGAAGGATAGGGACAAATTGTCCCTATCCTTCCAACACTCAATAGCGCTACCGACCGTTGCCAGCCTACGCATGACTTTCTTAAATGCAGGTTCCAAAAATTCCGACACGCTTAAAAAGGTCCAAAATCCATGGTCCATACTACGGTGAGGATAGGCTGGCAACACTCAATAGCGCTACCGACCGTTGGAAGGATAGGGACAATTTGTCCCTATCCTTCCAACACTCACTATCTTAAACGCAGCTCAATCTTAATTTTTGGAACTTTGGATTTTTTGTAATGTTTGCTTAAGCCAGTGACAGCACTATCAACCTTTGCCAGCCTCTACTTTTTGGATTGTTTCGGCATTATGGCAAAAGTCAATAGCGCTGCCGACTTTTGCTAGCCTCTACTTCTGCATTTTTTGGATTTTTGCAAAGGTCATTAGTGCTACAATTTTTCCAGCCTCTACTTCTTGCAATATTTTAGGATTCTGGCAATGATCAATTTGTCGATGGTGCAATGGTGCTACAGACCTTTGCCAGCCTATTCTTAAGTGTCTTCGCAATGAATTCTTGAAACTCACAGCAACTGGGAAGGGTCCAGAGCGCTCCCGACCTTTGACACTGTCAAGACAAAGAGAAAACAGCTTACCCCATGCTGGGAAAGGTTATTCTCTCAAGAGTAGTTTTTTTGTTTTCTTCAGAAACTGAGGCTCCATGTTGTTATATATGCCATTTGAAGTTGAAAGACGCGTTTGTTGTCATGTTGATTTCTTCCTTTTTCACGTGCAGTACCATTCCACTCCCTTCCGAATACGAAGGCTAAGGGCAAGCCCACTGACCCATGTGATGCACGCGTGCGCACGAGTTATATATAGAATATGCACATATAGTCAATATACATATGTATTGGAATCCGTTGGGGTATTTGCCGTTTTCGCTTTACGATGGCACCCATGGAAAATGTCAGTGAACCTTGGTGCTGTCACAATAATTTGTGATGCCAACCGGAGACATCCCCCATGTATGCAATTTTTGGTATGGGTTGACCAAAATCTAGACCGCTTCCAACCTTGGCTAAGGACGGGATTTATTACAAGTCGTGCTGTGATCTTGAGAATTTTCTGAAAACACGAATGTTGTAGGCAGCAAACGGGCTGAAACTCCCGAACGCTGCATTTTAAGTTTCATAGATATATTGTAATATTTATATAGTTGTTTGAAACCTTCCTCAAACGCTCCAGAACGCTCCCGGCTCCTCTAAAGCAACCTTTTTCTTTAAAGACCCAAAGCATTCTCGAGCGATCCTTACTGACTTTTGTGGACCCTCCTTAAACAGCCCGAAGCATTGCCAAGTGCTCAAAAACATATGTTTCTAAAGGATTCAGCCTTCAAAGTTTGAAGGCTACATTAACATGGACGAAATAAAATAGAAAACACAATTCACTGATGTTTATAAAAATCTGTCTTGAGCGAAATCGCGCTATCAAAGGCGGCATAGACAAAAACAACAAAAAACATATCTAAAACAATCAGGAACATCTGGGATCTTCTCCTGTTTCTATTTCAACCCTGATCTGAACAGAAACAAACAAACTTGTGGTTGAGATTTCAATAGAGCCTATGCCCTGTCGAATGTGTTCAGCCCCTACTTCCTCAATAGAATTTGACGGAATAAGAATCCTCAACGCTTCCTGCACCTACAGAAGGTGGCCTAGCCTTCAAATATCACCTGCAGTTTGTCGCTCGCCAGAAGTGAAAATCGTATATAAATGTTGACGATGCGTGTTTGTGTTTGTTCTGTTATGGTGCAACTTCAGTCAACAGTGCTGATCTAATTGTTATCATTTCCTTTGTAACCTTGAAGTATTTCCTTTGCCTTTATGAAAGGCTTGCAGCGCCATACCCTCTGGAATTGTTTTGCCACTGACGCAGTATCTTGTGCTTTACAGCCACTTTATCCTGCATATTTGATGTCGTTGTTGAAATTTAGGTCGATTGAACTTATTGGTTATCCCGATGACTGGTAAGTTAAGTAGTACTTTAAAGTTTACAGGCCAGGACCAGGACATGTACAATATATAGTTTTTTTTTTCTTTAGTCGACTGTGTGCGTTGTGTTTGCATACATATCATATGTACTTGTACTGCATGTTTCACGTATGTTGGGTCCATTCTTATAAGGATGCGTCAATGCCCACTCATTTGTGGTTCCCACTGCCCACTGACTCATCTACCTATTTTGATATGGCTCACAATAATAAATAAAAGAAACCATTTCCCAAAAATTACAGTGATTATTTGACTTTCTTAAATGCACCCCAGTATATAATATAATTATATATAATTGGTGTCCATCGATTCCATTCATAATTAGTTTCCAATAATGGTTCCATTGACAATTGATTGATCCCATTGACCATTAACAAAGTATTCAGTGTATATATATAGAATATTATAGAATTGACAATGAGACAATTGATTCCATTTGCATTTGCTTCTACTGATACTGGGATGATCACTAGGTTTCCAAGAGTTTCCCCGTTCATTCCATATTATTTCATAATTCTGTCCTTAACATGTCTCGATTGTTTCCCTATCACTTCCCTATTGTCCCTATTAATTATTTCCCTATGTGTTCCCTACTGTTTCCCTATCCTATTATGTCCCTACTATTTTCGCATTTTTCCATATCATTTAACCAACAATAAAAAAACATTTGTTTGTTCTGTCCATTATTTCGTTGTTATCCCCTACTATGACATTTCCTGCTGTAAGCAAGATATGCGTGAACAAATCACCAAATAAAAAATAGTATGACATAGTATGACCATCCAAGGACCCAACAGAAATGCAGTGACATGATGTGACACTCAAAAAACGTTTAAACCACTCAAAACATCATTGCAAATCCCACAGGTGCAGCCACAATTGCGACGACCACTGCAGAGCTTCGGCCAACGGCATGAAGGCAACACCCAACAAACCGCTACAATTTTGATCCCTGACTGTAGTGCTAACTATATTTGACAGTCCTGACTTTGAACCCCCTCCTTGATGGAAAGCCCTCGCATCCCTCTGGTCATCGTAGCACTTCCGCTGTTCCGGATCGTGCAGGACATTGTAAGCCTGCGCGGATCTGCAACGACTTTCTCTTCCAAAGGCTTGGTGCTGTAGATTTCCCTCTATTGCCCTATTGGTGCTGAAAAGTGGGACAAAAAGGAGATCAAAGAATCCACATTGCGATTGAGATCATCCCTGACCTTTTTACTTGATATAGGATCTTTACGGACCTGCTCTCAAATTGCCGTCCAACATGTCCAACATCATTGCAAACTCGTAACATGGAGCCCCAAAGAAATGCTCAATGTCCGTCAATTTTCTGTGCATGGGCTCCGTTTGGTCTCAACCCAGGCCTCAGTGATTCTCTTGAAGGTTTCACCAGAGGAATTGTCCTGTTGTTGCTGGGTCTTTGTGCTTTTCGGGATCAAGATCGGGACCCCAATCATTGTAATCATCAGGTGTCTCAAGTTCAGCAACCCAATCATGACCCGTGCCAATGCAACTCCCCCATCGAAAATCAGCCACCAGGTCACCATCACCATCCACCACCTTCAGCCCACCTGCTGGTCTGACTTGTCTGGGTGATACTTCAGCGCCAGCTTCTTGTAGGCTTTGGTCAGGTCGCTGTCGGAGGCATTGCAGTCAACGCCAAGAACCTGAGCATCTCGAAGCCATCACTGTCACACCAGTCCGTCTGGACTATAAATTAGCGTGCAATATAAAATGGTATGCATAAGATTGTATAAGATAGGAAAGATAGGCTAGATAAGATATACAGTAGATCGATTAGATCGATTAGATCAATTTGATCGATTAGATCGATTGGATAGACTAGACAGATTGGATAGACTAGATAGATTATATAGATAGATTGAACAGATTAATTGTATAGATAGATTAGATGGATTAAATAGATTCGATAGATTAGGTAGATTGGGTAGATTCGATAGATTAATAGATATATTTATATAAATAGATAAGAATGGATAAGAATGGAAACGAATGGATAAGAATGGATTCAATAGTGCATAATAATGGATACGGATGAGAACAGATTTTAAAATTATATAGGCTCAAGAATGGATATATAGATAAGCGTAGGATAGGATAGGATAGGATAGGATAGCATAAACTAAGATAGAATAGCTGCCTCGTCCTCCAACACATAAACATCATACATGTAATTATACAATATAAGCAAAAAATGACGGACATACACACGTATGACACGTATGTTATATACTTCCATGTTATTCTCACATGTTCTGAACCCACCAAGCACATGTTGACCTTCGTCCAGCTGCTTGGTAGTGGTCTTCCTGCGGCGGCGTCATTGCAACACCTGTCGACCCCCCCTACCTCTCCGCGCCCCGTGCGCCCGGGCCAGCCACAAGTGGTGGCATACCGACTTGACCCACAAATGCCGCGAAGCAGAATAATGCAAAAAAGGTCACCATGATCAATTATTGGATAACATGGGATAACGAGAGTTGAATCTCGTTGCTGGCTATACCCACCTTGATCTCCTGTAAAAATGTGTAAAATATCAATCATCCCGCAGGATCATCCCACTCAAGGGATGCGTTGCAATTTCCCCCCGCATGTTTCTCTAATGTGGCAAACCCAATGCGATAAACCTATCACTTGGGGACGGTTTATGCCACCCATTTATGGTGATATTGGATAAGGATGGGGAAGGTCTATCAGTCTATCATTGGGTTTACCACATGATACCACATTATTCTCATTGGTTTCAGATGGCTTCATCAAGCTTCATCATGCTTCATCTGGATTCGTGAGAGAGTCCTTTCCAGCTTGTCACTCAAATGCATCGGCTGGGGAGGGCACCAAATGGCACACTCCGCCTTGGAACTGCCAGGGGAGAAAGCCGACAAGTATACATCATGATGCCCGGGAACCGCAGAAAATCTACTTCACCTGCCTGGAGCAAATGCACCGTCCAAAACGTGGACATCCATTGGCCATGGCCCAAAGAAATAATGCAAAGGGATGCAAAGGGGGTACCCTCTGGTAATTTAACATAGCTATTGAAAATGGTGATTTATAGTGGATTTTCCCATGAAAAATGGTGATTTTCCATAGCTATGTTAATTTACCAGAGGGTATTCCGTTTGACCAAATTCGACAATGGTGGAGCCATGTGGAGCCACCTGCTGCCACAGCCACCCAGATGCAACCGCCAGCACCAGCCCATCCAGTGGCCACCCTCGAAGGGACCTTAGCGCGGTGGGTCACCATTCAAGGCCTCCGAAGGAGACCGAAGCAAACAGACCTGTCCCAAGTCTGTCCATTGCGGCAAATCTGTACCACCAAGAGAAAGGCTCGCGGCGACGGGCTCTAGTACCAGTCATGTCCATCCCAAATAAGAACAACTACCCTCTGGTAATTTAACATAGCTATGGAATATCACCATTCTTCATGGGAAAATCCACTATAAATGGTGATTTTCAATAGCTACGTTAAATTACCAGAGGGTATCAGGTTCAGTGACAAGCAAAGACACCCCAGGGACGTCGCGCCACGCGGCATCAAGATGCATCAAGATGCATCAGGTTCCCTCAGATCCCAACCTGCTGAGCCCCAATTTGGACACCATGGCCTGACCGGAGATTCTGCGCCGCCAACAGGCTCAACCAATGAGGGGACTCTATGGGGCTTCAAAGCACCCCAGCCGCGTGACCCCCCAACAATCTTTGGGTTTATTCAGGGTTTATTGACCATTTATCATCATTTATCATGGGACGGTCACCTTTGCGGGGGCTGGTTGAATACCCGTTAGACTGTGGATCGACAAAGCAGTGAGTCTAAGACATCACCAAACTCATCGGATGAAGTTCTTCAATGGTTGGAACGTTTTGGTACGGTTTCCCTAGGGTAAACTAACATACATGTGGAAAATCCCCCATTTGTAGACTGTTTCCTGGGGAAACGATGGGTTTTCATGGGTTTTCCACATCTATGTTAGCTTACCCAAGGGTAAATCATGTTGAAATCAAACACTTTGCCTTGGTGATGATGTTGCCAGTCACCTGGCACTGTCTCATCTGCTCGAGCACATCTTGGGCCAGTGACCATTGCCTGGGTACTTTCTGGATGCGACGACTCTTTCTGGGGCATCAACTGGCGAACCTTCTGGTAGAACCACCCGCCGTACATCCACATCCCCTTTTTGGCATCACATCCTCTTTTTGCATCGGTCAATCATCCACAGAAGAACGGTTTTCCCCAGCCGATCCCCAGCCCTGCCAAGAGTCATAGCCACGGCACAGCTCTGGAGTATCGAGTTGAAGGTCATCACATCCTCCAAAGCATCAAGGATCACCCAGCTGGTTAGTGGTGTCAACCCATCAAAACAAAAAATAATAGGTCCTTTGGGGGTTCCAGGGTTGACAGACATGGCAGATTTCACTATGAAACTATCAACTGAACCAACTATCAGCTGAAATATGGTTCGGTGATCAACATGATAATTAGAAGAACAAGTGAAGATAGAACCAGGTACCCTCTGGTAATTTAACATAGCTATTGAAAATGGCCATTTATAGTGGATTTTCCCATTAAACATGGTGATTTTCCATAGTTATGTTAGTTTACCAGAGGGTAACCAACATGCCGGAACTCTTTGCCGGACACTGTTTGCTGCACCAAAATGCCGCAAGGCGACTGGAGGTATGAGGCCTGAGCACAAAAATTCAAACATTATACAACAGAGATTTGCAAACAATTTTAACTGCAAACATCCACAACAAATATCTGTCATATACATAAAACAATATATGATAAGATAATATAAGATAATAATGTGTATGTTATTTGTATGTATGTATGCATAATATAACATCAAGTATGCATTTTCTATGTCTATACCTCTCTATATTCCAGTAGTGCCGCACAAGGCGGCGGCCGAAGTTTCAAAGATAGGAAACTATAGGAGAAGTGAGTTGTTGTGATGCGTGGATGGCAGAGGGAACCCACTGGCAGATCGAAAAGCGGTTGAGGCTCTGAGTCTCTCTCTGTCTCTCTCTCTCTCTCTCTCTCTCTCTCTCTCTAACTCTCTCCGTCACCTTCTCTCTGTCTCTCTCTATCTCTCCCTCCGTCGATCTATCTGTCTATCTATCTATCTGTCTATCTATCTATCTATCTATCTGTCTGTCTATCTATCTATCTATCTATCTATCTATCTATTTATCTCTTGTGTAGTGTAGTTATAGCTGTAGTTGTAGGCGTAAGTATGGGTGCAGGGTAGTGTGTAGTGTAGCGTAGCGTAGTGGATGCATATTCTATGTATATATATATTATTCACCATGTGATTGTTATTCTATGATGCATCTTGTATCTTGTATACAAATGTATGTACTGTGCTACGCAAATTGTGGATCGATCCAGGCAAATCACATATATCATATTCAGATCATATAGTATAAAATAATATAACATAATGAAACGTCCTGTATACATAATGCACAGTGATGATCTAGAATCTAGCTACTTCATGCACTAGCTAGCGTGCAAAGTGCCAGTAGAAAATCGTAGAAATGTCCAGTGATCCTGTGACTTCACATGGCAGGCTGCTGTAGTGCATCATCTGGCAAATCTCCAAGGCCGTTGGCCATTCCACAGCACTCACTGCAGCCTGGGCTTGGCCAAGATTTTTTCTGCTGAATGTTGAACTATATTTCATGAAAACTGATCAACTGCTTGGGCCCCCATTTGTTGGAACTGGCCGGCCTTGTCATTTGCATTGATTTGATATATATATATTCACATCATAATGCGACAATATGATGTGACAATGGGATTATAGTTGTTGATAGCGTACAACACGTGTCCCAAAAAATACAGCCCCTGCGGCCGCCCGCATTGAACGATATCTGGCTGCGCTGCAGCTGCTTCTGCCCCATCTCCTGCGGAGGTGGGCAATCGTTGCAGAGCCCAAAAATCCATGGTGCCAGCCACATAAATTGGAGTGGTATCTGTATGCGTATGTAAAAACTATTAATAAATCCTTCTCTCTCTCTCTCTCTCTCTCTCTCTCTCTCTTTCTGTGTATATATATATACATATATATAATTATATATGTGTGGGTCTATCTGTGTGTATCTCTATCCATCTATCCATGTGTCCATCTGTCTATCCATTTATCCAGCTAGCTAGCATTTATCTATCTATCTATCTATCTATCTATCTCTCTCTCTCTCTATCTATCTATCTATCTATCTATCTATTCATCTTATCTTATCTTATCTTATCTATCTATCTATCTATCTATCTATCTATCTATCTATCTATCTATCTATCTATCTATCTATCTATCTATCTATCTATCTATCTATATCTATCTATCTATATCTATCTATATCTATCTATCTATCTATCTATCTATCTATCTATCTATCTATCTATCTATCTATCTATCTAATCTATCTATCTCTCTCTCCCTATCTATCCATCTATATCTTATACTACTGTGTTTATTGACTTTATTGATGTTTATTGTAAGCAGCCAGGCTTCTAACTTTAATTCAAACCAAGAAATGCACCAATGGATTCAATGGAAGATGAGGCACTCGCCTTGTGGGGGAGCAGCAGTTTACCACCAACCGACCCACCTCTTTTCCAAGAAGTCTCCAAGTTTGGATTAGGAGCTGCAAGAATTTCAGAATAAGATATCACAAACACGTTAAATATCATGCAACAATCATATGTTTGGTTTTCTTATGTTTTCTTCATGAATGATTTGCGATCTACCCCACCTCTCATCAACCCAAAACGCCTAAACTCAAAACGCCTAGCAGTGCCCATCTACCGCCTGGAAGAAATGAAGTGCCCAGGGCCACTGCGTAGCATCCCCACATGCGCTGATGGCAGCGTTGTACGCAATGGCCTCAGCTACTGTCAGCTACCCTCCGGTGGCATCATGGCTATCTGGAAAATACCTGAACTAAAGGGATGAAGGGATGTTTGAATGGGAAAATCATCTATAAATCGTAAGAAATGGATATAAATGAATATAAATGATTATAAATGGAGATTTCAGTGGGAAAATCATCAACCTAAATGGTGGATGATGTTTGTAGCCTCATCTACTATGGCCGAGCCGAGATGCGTCGTGCAGGCCCTGTCCGCAGAGCACCAAGGCGCTTTGCCACGCGATGGCCTTGCCGCATGCCTTTGCCCAAACAGGAACCAAATTTGGTGCGAAGGGAACAGGATGAAACAGGAAACCCGGGAGGTCCAAGCGTTTTGAAGGTTTTGTTTTTGAACCCCTTGCGATTCAGCCATCAAACCAGGTTTCGGCTTTGGCAGAAAATTCACCAGCACTCCAAAAATCCAGAGCTGGCGCTACCTTTCCGCAGAGCACTGGCTCTGCTTGGCATTGAAACTTGGGAGACAGCAGCTTTCTCTGTCTCTTGGCTATGTACATTGTCCTTTTGCTCTCTCTCCATCACCATCTCGTTTGAGACTGACCCAGAGCCAATCTTTGGCTCCTGATTTCGGTCAAAACTCTCTCGGAGAAGTTGTAAGAGGGTAGAGTCGCAGTCTTCGTCATCCAAATTGACTTGGGGCACAATCCTCACCACTTTCTTCCTCGGAGAAATGGCCCGATGGCATGATGCAAGCCGGGTTAGGCCCGAAAAATAATGCAGCTGATAAAATATCCTTCTTGATTGCTCAGGAAAAGATTCAACTTGGAAAACAGGCCCCAAAAACTCTTTCGCCATCTTGCGGCCACAAAAGGCCTTGAATGCGATGGGAGATGCTGGGAGTCCTCTTGCAGTTGGGGTCCCCTGATCTTTTTCACCCTGCCCTGGCACTGCAGCCACCCTTGCAACAGGTGTCTTCATCTCATGCCCAATGCCCCATGCCACAATGGTCATCCAATTCCTCAGAGGGCCCAGCTGGATCCAGCTGGATTGTTCGGACATAAATTAAAAACCACCAGTTGCAAATCCGTTGCCAATCATCAAAGCTCTCCAATGCTGTCCACATCTCTCCAGAGCATTTTTTCCCGAAGCTGACTACATAATCCCCTGTCAAATCACAAGTGTCAAAGTAGATGAGTTTTCCATAGTTTTCCTATCAAACCACAATATGCCACGATCCCATACAATCCCCCCGCTCATCTCCACTCATCTCCAGCGCCCTTTGGGAAAGTCGCCGCCAGAGCCAAGCTTCGTACAGCCACTTTTCAGCAGGCAGTCCTTCACCAGCTGCGCTCGCGGCTGGGACAGGGCCTTGCCTCGAATGCAGTTGCTGTCGTTGCTGAAGCCCTCGATTCGCACCGGCAAACCTGGAGAAAAAATCGGCAGAGCTGTCGTGAACAAATCAGACTTAGAGGAAGCTCTAGCAGCATCTTCAACACATTCAACACATGCCATAAATTTATATTATATACTTGATAGAACTTCATGCATCATTAAATTATATAAAATAAATTTGGGGATTCTCCCAGGCAAGCTGAAAACTGCCAGTCCTGCCAGTCCAGTGGTCCAGTGGTCCAGTGGTCCAGTAGTCCACTGGCCTGGAAAGTCTTTCAAAATCTCAGCCACCTCATGGATGACCGTCAGTCCTCGAGCGGTTACCCGACATCATTCCAGGTTGTTTTTTTGATATTTTTTGGCATCTGACTTTGGGACAAGAAAAAAACTCTTCAACTCTAACTCTTTAAAGACCTTCAAAGCCTTTAGAAGCCTCTCTAAATGACGGGGAGCTATGCCACTTTTCCCAATGACCGAATCATATCCGGAAACTATCTGCGATATGATCAACTTAAATGGCGCCAATCTGGATCTTCCAATGATACCATCATCCCATGCTGTCCTCTTTGTGACAATTTGGCCTCCACCGTTGGCCAGGTACCATTCTTCTGGCATTTCACTGCTTCAAAGGTGATCATGTACCTTTTTTGGCGTCCAAAAATGGACACAGCCCCCTGGTGGTGATCACTTCACGGATTCGTGGGGCAAAGCCGTGAGGGGACTTGATCTGTCCACCCAACTAATATAACCACATGCTTTCGCCACTTCAGATTCTCACCCCATCCTTCATAGACAGCAAAATTTAGCACAGAACCGCAAAAAGTGTCATTTCTCTTGAGAGAATTAAAATCCAAATGTGTCCAAACCCATTTGATTTTTGGACTTCATCGGTTTTGTGGGAGCAACATGGAGCAACTTAAGGTGACATAAATTTAAACCAGTCTCTCTTCAATCTTCCGAAGCCTGCCACGGATCTCCTCTACTTGCCTCGAGCTCAGGCTGGCTTTGAGGGAATCATTTGCGTTTGTTTCCTCCATCCGCTCCACTGGGTCGAAAAATATCCAAAAATGTCTATGGCCTCCAAATCAACTTGCCTGAAACTTGAGGGAAAGCTAGGCTTAAAAAATGAAGTCCGATCTGGACTAGAAAGCAAAAAGCTGGGGCCTTTGAATTTCAGGTGGTGATGTCTCGAGAACAATATCAGTTTTTCTTGTTTTTCCAACTTCGTTGCCAGTGTTGTCGCCGCGACCACCTTCTGCACGGTTCCCCAAGCCCAACCAAGAGACCGAGAAAAACTATGCAGGAGCTCTTGAAATTGCCGGGTATCCTCAGCTGGAGGGTCACACATGCCTGTGATGACAGATTCTTTTTGGGTTCGGGATTGGTTTTTTGTATTGGGTTGGATGGGATGATGCAAGATTAAACCAAAATTCAGGGAAATCATGAAAGACTTTCATATTTCTGACCTATGTCATTGTTGCTAATTTTGGTGACAAAAAGTCGGCATTGACCCATGACTAAGGGATCCACACTATTCCACTGCCAAGTCACTAGACCCAATTGCTCAGCATCCTCTAGTGCATCACGAAGACCAGCGAGGTCGCGATTCCTCGCGAATAGGCTACTTGAATTGGGCCTTCCACCGAACTGTTTGACCTCTTTGAAAACACTCCCCTCCGGTGATCAAACGTGGCAGTGGGAGATCCCCTATAAAGTCTATAAATGGATGTTTTAATGGGAAAATTGGGATTTTCCATTGCCACGTTTGATTGCCGGGGGGTATATCAAATGAATGCGAGTAATCATGGGTGTGTTCTTTTCATCATGTTTTCGACAATGTGACAATGTCATCATAAAGAATACGCGTCCTCAATGTTGCCACAAAAATGGATGCAGTTGGAGGTTGCATTGTATTGCTGAGTTTACCACCCTACACTACTGCTTGGTCGAGCCACCCCCCGGGATTTTTTATTTTCAGCGGGGATATGTTGGGAAACAATGCATAAATATGCATAAATAACCGCCATCCAGCAACCACTTTGGATGGGGTTGTATAAACCCTCTGGTAAACTAACATAGCAATGGAAAATGACCATTTATAGTGGATTTACCCATTAAAAATGGTGATTTTCCATAGCTATGTTAGTTCACCAGTGGGTAAGATCCATTAATTAAGCCTTAGCGTTTGGTGAAACCGCCCACCCGATCACTGCTGCTGGGCTACTGTGCCAAGCGGGCCATGTTACTCAGCACTTCCTGCTCCTCCGTACCGGAATGGTCGGCGCTTTGAGCAATGGCAATGCCACATTGGGTGATACTGTTGGGATACAACAAATAGTTGGGATACAACACATAGTAGACTTATGTTGGGATACTTCTGTTGGGATACCATCCCAAAAAATCATCCTGACAACTGATAGGTGATACTGTTGGGATACAACAAAACAAAATGAAGGAAACCAAACCAATATAAACCACCAACCTATCTACTGGCCGTAGAGATGCTGGTGGTTCGCTCTAATTAACCGCAAACTCATACTGCCCAGCTATGCCAACCTTTACGCGTATGTGCGAAACGGAACCTTATCTGCCATATTCTTTCATATTCTGAAGGGTTGCCCTCTGAAAGGTGTCGGTGGAGGTTTCTCCCTGGGTTCAGCATAAAGCCACCCGTCCTGTAGGAAATGCTCTGCTTCTTGCAGGATTCCTGCTGCAACACTGCAACACTGTTTTCTTGACAGAATGTCAAACCATCACAAATCCCCATAGCTTGGAAAAATCAACACGACAAAATGCAGCTGGCTGCACCAAACCCCACAGTGACAGCGGCCTCAGTAGTCTTTGCAAGTTATCCCGTATGAGAATCTCCGTGCTTCAACCCCCCATCGTTATCATCGTTGTCACATGTTTCCCCTTGTTTCCCATTGTTTCATCTTATTTCCCGTAGATCTCCAGCAAAAATCACCCATTTGTCCAGCATTTTTGAGCCCAACCCCCCAGCCCCAGCTGCACGGCCGCGCGGCACCTTGATGCTCTGCCAGGTCGAGATGCCCGCAGCGCCGCAGGGCTGACACCACCATGGCTGCAGAACCCATGTCCAAGGCCTCTTTGAGATGTTGCACAGCCCAGGGCTGCCAGGCACCTGTCATGATGGGTGGGGGAGATCATCATCAATAAATTAAAATATAATCATATATATATTCATATATATATACATATATATACATGTATACATACATATACATATATATATACATATATATATACACATATATAAATACACATATATATATACATATACATACATATATATATATGTATATATATACATATACATACATATATATATATATATACATATACTGACACAGGTATGGATATAGATATATAAACATAGATCAAAGGGATTAACATCTATCACCTAATTCAATAAGGATTAATGTTTGTGTGCGATCGTAAAATATTTGCATAATTCTGCATAGAATACCCAGAACATCAACATGGTTCACTATATGTCTGGGTTAGTTGCAGATGATTGCTCCATATCACTGGGCAAAAAATATTTCACTTTCATGGTTATATACTTTGAAAGTGGATATGGATCATGGATGGAAGAAAATAGAGAATGGATGAGTCCATGGTTCACTGAAGTCAAATGTTTCTGGCAGCAGCATTTCTTTCATAGGCACCCGGTCAGCTTGGATAATTATGAAACTTCAAGCCAGGTCTCTTCCACAGCAGAATAATCCTGAGCGTGATCCCAATGGATCGACAGATACAAAAAATACTGGAAACCATGGTCTGAAACAATTTCATCCCGGCAAGGGACCCCAAACAGTGTGGGGGAGTGGGGGGATATGTATGATAATGTTGATGATGATGATGATGGTGATGATGATGATGATGAGGAGGAGGAGGAGGATGAGGATGACGAGGATGATGATGATGAGGAGGATGATGATGATGATGATGGTGATGATGATGATGAGGAGGAGGATGAGGATGACGAGGATGATGATGATGATGAGGATGATGATGATGATGATGAGGAGGAGGAGGATGATGAGGATGACGAGGATGATGAGGATGAGGATGAGGATGAGGATGAGGATGAGGATGAGGATGAGGATGATGAGGTTAAGGACGATGATGTTGATGATGAAGATGATGATGATGATGATGATGATGGTGATGATGATGATGATGGTGATGATGATGATGAGGAGGAGGAGGATGATGAGGATGACGAGGATGATGAGGATGAGGATGAGGATGAGGATGAGGATGAGGATGAGGATGATGAGGTTAAGGACGATGATGTTGAGGAGGAGGATGAGGATGAGGATGAGGATGAGGATGAGGATGAGGATGATGAGGTTAAGGACGATGATGTTGAGGAGGAGGAAGATGATGATGTTGAGGATGATGATTTCACAGGAACCACCTTACACGGAAATTTACAGGAAAAATGCCGCAGACCAAGACCCAGACACACACTTTGTGCGAGCCTGCGCAGTCGAAATGCACTTGGAGATTTCACAAGAGCCACTTCATACGGAAATTGACAGGTAAAATGCCGCAGACCAGCTGGAGCACCCTGATCAAGCAGCGGCCTTTACTCTTACCGTAAGAACCCCTCAGTGTGGACACACTGTTTGGGGAAAAACTGGTGGTTTTGCTCTCATAGGATCATCGAACAGAAAAGTTGCAACCCCAAAGAGGTATATATTTCAGAGATATTAACTCTAAATATTAGTCAACGTGCATTAATTCACGATGTTTCATGATGTTACTATATTTTACTCAGGCTTTACCAAGGTCTATTGCTGCACTCCCCGCATCCTCCCGCACCTGGGCCCGGCAGGTCCGTCTCACTGGACCCGCTGCTGAAGCTGCTTTGACGCGGCCGCAGCTTCAGAGCTTTCGAAAGGTGGCTCTGCACCTACCATTTTTCATCACAGGTGACATGTCATGGCTATGAATCAATACCTATGAAAATACCATTTTTAGGGGGATGAAATGGGATGAACATCCATAAATCCCAGCTATTTTGATGTGAACAGAAGGGGTACAAGGTTTTGACCCACTGCCATGTGACATCTGATGATTTTGGAAGCCCCTGGTGGTACCAGAATGGATCCGACCAAAAAAGATGTGGGGATAAACTGGGGATATGTGTGCGCAAGCAACAAGAGTATATCTGCATGAAACGTGGTATACACAAATTGCTTTCTATTATCAGAGGAAAACATGATAATAAATCAACGCAATGGATTTAAGGATGCTCAAATACTCATTAGATACTCCATGATACTCCCTACTCTGGGACAAACCCATATAAACCCATATAATTTATAATATACATGTGCAAGAGTCACACGAAGTTATTGGGGGGATTGCCCACTCAAGGTGCAGCTCTTTTCTCGGTCAGCTAGCCATGGGCACCCGATATGTTCAGAGCAACCCACACTCCGGGCCTGAAGCTGCCCTCCCTCAACCGCAACCGCCCTCGCATCTTCCACCGCAGCTGGCAGGTCCGCCCCCGTTTTGAGCGCTTCGTCCAAACGCCTGGCCACGCTGTGGTGCTGATCGAATCTGGCTTCCAATGTGTAGGCGTTCCCCAACTCCTCATGGCCAATGCCAACATCCTTGGCCTTAGACCAAAAGGGCCAGGGAGGTTTGGGACTTTGGCTTGAACTGCTCCTGGGATGACCTGCTGGCCATCATCATCCATCATCCCACCGACTTTTCGAGCTAAGGTTCCAATTCAGTAGCTTTCTGCAATCTCGAGATGCAAGTCACACTCTCCCAAAATGAGGCGGCCTTGCCCAACAGCAAGCATGCCATAAGCCCCCACCTGCCGGCCAGTTCCTACTGTACCCTCCAACGTGTTCCTCAAAGTCCAGGGACTAGAGAAGCTTTAGCTTGGAAACCTCTTCTTCAGTATCAGCATTAGTATACACACTGCCCCGCAGCTTGCAGCGACTGCCTGCAAAACATGACAGTTGCTGTGAGTTTGACAGGCCTCAGGCCTCAAGCACCCTTCTTCCACAGGTTGGCACAGAAGCCAACAGTTGTCAGGCCCCCAAAAATAACAAAAGTTGGCCCTGCGTGCTCTCATTGAAATTCACTAGGAAGTGGCAAGAGAAAAAAACTATCGATTCCATCCATCCATCCATCCATCCATCCGTCCATCCATCCACCTATCGGCATCTAATTATCAATATAAAATCAAGTATGTAAACAACATATATAATTATACATACATATAATTATATATATAATACACAGATTATATACAGGTTATATACAGATTAATAATATTTAATAATTATCCTTTAATTCAACCTTACACAAACGTCCACAACGAAACACAAGAAATATGGCGTTGATCGCCTCACTGGAAGCTGCTGCTCAAGCTGGGCGTGCAACGCCATGGCCTGGCCCACGCAGTCGTCTGCCTCAGCCCATGGGTTTTTTCCCCACAGAAATAGCTGGGGCTGAGGGATCCCCATACTCACCAAGCATGTCCTAGGAAATTGAGTCCTTTAATGATTCTTATACTGATCAGCATGATCAGCCGTTGATTTATAATATTTTATGATATCAACTAACAATATCCCCATTGCTTGTTCTAAAGGATCAAGTGATTGTCGAGAATCCCCGATGTAGTGGATAGAGGAATCCCCAATGATCATCAACCAGCGATGTTGAACACTGCTCAGGTGGGATTTAGGGATGGGGAGGTTTGGGAATGGGGGTGCACAAACAACAGAGACGTGAGAAACTCGAATGCGCAAAGGCCACCAAAAAACGAAACAAAAGGACTATCAAAGGAATTTGCAAATTCTCAACCTGGAGTGGCACCTGACTTCCCAGTTTTTCCCGGAACCAGGGCACCACCATCACTGCGTCTGTTGTCCAAGCTGCCGTTGAACCTGGCACAAGACCAACCTGCTGTGCCAGGGCCAAAGAAGAGCTCAAGGATAGTCCGGGAAGTTCTTCCAATGGCTCAGCTCCTGCCATCGGCGAAACAATGAGGGGCGCTTGCCGTCCCTGCCAGTGCACAAAGAGGAATCTTCCATGGCTCCATCTTTTTGGTTTCCATTGGCTCTTTGGGGTGTATCTATGTGTCGTGTAGGTATATATACATATATTCCATGGTGAAAACTATATGAAAAACCCAGGATCAACGTCAAATCGGTGATGGTTTATTCCACCCAGTTGAAGGTCAATCCCAGTTTCATACTTCCAGGTTGACTAAATGAGGGTCGTCCCGGAAAAAGTGATTTCATCTGTCCAAATGGTACTTCCCAATGACATGAAATAGGTATCAACATTGATCAAATGGGCTGACATTACTGACTACATTAATCACTACTACATCGAATCAATATGTGTCAAATACATTTTATTCGCACATAATATACCTACATATTACTTGATTGAATATGTTGATCTAGTCAATCAATCCATGTAGACAAGTAGCACACACTATATCACATTAGTTAATTCAAATGATTATCTACAAAAAAGGAGACTTTCTAAGCTATGTGACATAACCAGTGGGTAACATCGTTTTTTGATTGGCTAAATCCCGTTGAATCATATCATAAGTCCCATTCAACTTCATTTCCACCATCTTAAAACCCACGAAATCCCCATAAATCGCCACTAAATCATACTAAATCCACCATTCCATCCACCATTTTCCCCAAAAATCTCCACGCCGCTCCTCGCCGTTTTTTTACGGCACCCCTGAGCTGCTGCAGCGCCTCCCAGCGGCGTTGCTCCAGGCCGAAGCCGGAGGAGCCCTCCGCGATGCGCACGGCGCACTGCAGCAGGTCCTGCATCTCAGCAGAAACAGCAGGACCAATCTGCGCCTCGGATGGGACAGGACGGGTTGAAGAGGAAAAAATCCAGAGATTGTTAAATCTCGATATTTTATGATATTTTTTAGGAACTAGAATCTGAGTATATCTAAGGGTTTCATGAATTAAGCATTAATCATCTAAGTATTGGGGCACCCAATTTTGACCCAGATTTCTCAGCAGATTGCTGTGTGCTTTGTAAAGGCCTTATTATTTGAGGATGCACTTTATCAACGATGTGGAAATGAGTTGTGTTGGATCTGTACTAAAGACTAATGACATGATCTAATCATGTAACATGCTAGTTGTGAAAGCATGTAACTTATTAGACATGACATAATTAAGATCAAGGTACTTTGTTGTACTTTATGAAACCAAGCCACCTCGCTTTCCAGGTCTTTGCACCAGACGCGTCAACTGACCCTATCTACCCAGCATCTGCGCATATATGTGTATTTAATTGTATGTTCATTATATACATAAATGTATATACATATATATAGTGACTATTGGTTCTATACATAAATAAACTATAATAAATAAATAATAAATAAATAAAATTATATATATATGTGTGTGTGTCTGTCTGTGTGCGTGTCTTATATATAGTCTCCTGCATTGGCTGAGAGCATTACTGATATCACCCGTTGTATACCTAGATCCAGAGGGCGGAGCCGTGTGCGGTTTCAGGGGACTGGGAACATAATGCATGTGGGCCTCTGCGTTCGTTGTGAAGATACAACATGATACAACATCATTTAGATATGATATATACAACACATACACATATATATATACATATAGATATATATAATCATATATATATATGTATACATAATTATATATATAACATGATATAACTAACTTACGACTATGTCATCCTATATGATCAACCTGTGCGCCAGTGACGAATCACGACGAATCTGATCATACAGGCCACGTCTCCAGCCCGCCCAGCCCCCTCACCATTCCCGCCAAGGGACAAGATCTGCCGCATGGATGGCGTTTAAGACAGCCTCACATTCCTCGATGGCCTCAGGTAAAAGGTCAAAGTTTCGAGTTTCCAAGGCCTGTGACAGATCTGCCCACGCTGAGTTGGTCCAGCTCTCCTGGGGCAACGCGAGCGAGATTTCCAAGATCAGCAGTGGCGTATCTCTCTGTGGGGACCAGCATCTTTCAAAAGCACAATCTAAAGAGTCTAAATATCACATCAGGCAAACTCGGTCAAACTCTATTTATCTGTCTGTCTGTCGGTCTATCTAAATCTGTCCATCCGCACTTACATCACTTACATCTACCTGTCTGTGCCGTTTCTACATGTATATATATATATACATACATACTAATACTTGTATGTTGCATATGTTATTGGATTTGTGCATATGATTGCATACCTTTAGAAGGTAGAATTGTGCGTATATGTGCATCTTTGTATGACTGCATTTGTTCAAAACAAAACAAAACAACGCAAATGTATACACAACCATACATATCACACATGCACTTAGATGTGCATATATATATTATTTAAAAAAATATGCGCGTGTCGGCCTGAGCGTCGTATCCAAAATAAAGCAACATTACATGGTTCCTGGAACTTCCAGCAATCTACATACATGCGTTGAATTGTTTCACAAACCAGACCGCCATGTTTTGCCAAACCCAACATCCATCTGATTCTCTATCACAGCTTTGTGCCAACCGCCGAGAAATTAACCAACCACCAGCCCAAATTCACTCATGCCTTCCCAGTGTCTGAAAATTCCCTGGCAGCTCTTTCAGTTTTTCGCAAGACTGACAGGTTGGTAGCCACCCCACTGCTGAGTGTAGAAGTGGCTGCAGAAAGCGCTTCCCCCCGCATTTCTCGAGCACGGCGCGGGGGTGTCACGGATCTGGAATTCCGAGGGTGGAACTTCGCCAGTTTCACCTGGCAGGAACTCCAAGAAGCATGAGGAAACACCCCATGATTTCTTGGTAAATCAACTGGTTTTAAATGTGCCAACTTGAAAAACAAGGTTGACATTTACTCTAATTTGAGCATATTTCGGCATGGTTTCGCGCTGGCTTCAAAATTGGCACCGAGTTGCAGCCAAAACGAGGGAACATATGGAAATACGCCCAACGAAAATCGACAACCTTTGCAAAACAGACCCACACACACACGCAAGGTTTCGTTGACGTTCTTATTAAGTTATTCAAGTAAAATTATGTTGGATATTTTTGGATTGCTATTGTTGACTATTGGAGCTGTTTTTTCCCTTGGCTGGCCGCATCCGCATCCGGGTGGAAGCCGCCTGTGCACGGCCGTGCGCACCCAAAGCCTTGCGCATCTCCACGGGGCGAGTCAACTGGGCCAAGAGGCTCTGGCCTTGCAGGAGATCTGGGTCAGTCTCGGGCCAGAACTCCTGGGTGACGGTGAGGCAGAATGAGGCAGATATAGATGATATAGGCAGATTGGGTGTGTCGAAAATACCATGGCAAATACCGGATGATACCGGGATTCCATGTTACTTATCCATATTCGCATGGAACATCTCTCTCTCTATATATATATACGTATATATATATATAATATCTGTGTGTGTGTGTGGCGGACAAAATTACCTGCTACCCACAATGGACGTGGCCAAAGTGGGTGGTCCCTTATCGGTTGTGAATGTTTTCGCACAAATTTGAACATCCCATGTCCGCTTACTCATATTTTTTGGCCAGGGCTTCTCAGAGGATTTCCTCATATGAAAGATGGGAAAATGATGATTCATCAGCCAATTATGGGGTAGGTATGTGGCATACATCCGTACACCCCGTGTTTGGACAAACCAAAATCATCATCTCCTATTATCTGAAGGCCCAGGCAGTAAAAATCATGAAAGTTACTGACAAAAATTGCGCAAATGGTCGTTGTTGTAAGCAATGGGCGCCGCTCATTTCTAGGCACTGATGTGGCTTCCGATATTGGATTTTTGTATGTCATAATTCAACGTCATCGAAGCACAGGACGTTTTTTCCTCACTCCATTGACATTGATCAACTCACTACTCCTGTGGCCGCCACTAGTGCAACTTGGCCACTGAACTTGGTGATAAAAAATGATAAACATATTCCGTGGCCCTTTCCAATTGCCATGAAATCATATGAAATCATGGGAAAAATATGGAAAAATGATGTTCCAAAGTCCTCCAAAAACCCGTGTGCTTTCGGTTGCACCTCTGCCGAGGTACCGAGGCTTTGCTGATCGCCAGGTCCAGTTCCCTGGAGGATTTCTGTTCCATCGCATGCAGCAGCAGCTTTTTGCTCTGCTGAGCCTCGCCACGCACCTAGGGCGTACGGCGAATGGCCAGGGGCTGGTGAAGAAAATTGTACCTCTGCTGGTAATAAAAAATATACAAAAAAAAAAAAGTGGCAAAGTGGACCAATAATGAATCATATCATACCCAAATTTTGGCCTGAAATGGGTGAAAAAAATGATAGCAGAAACAATCCCAATGGTTTTCCTATTGGGTTTATGAAGTTAGGGAACATGATTATGTAAACCAATGTATCTGGGGACCACTGTTGAGACACCACATCAAAGGTTGGCAGCTGGAAAGTGTCCGAAGCTTTGCAAATGAAAATGACACCCTGTCGTGTTTGGAAAGGCCGTTGCCAATGCTTACAGTAAGATCAGTAAGTGGTTTTCTTATGATTTCTTCATGTTTCTTCTCTGTGTACAGTACACTGCATGAAAGCCGCAAGAGGTATTTGGACATATTTGGACAGATTGCGGATTCATGATTGCCGTTGAGTGCTTACACCGGAACCATCTGGAAATATCTGGAATCTCATGGTAGCCCAGTGACACGTGGTGTCAGGTCCTTCCTGCGTGGTGTCACGGAGCCAGTGGGTCCCGCCAGGCGCATTGACACCAGCTCGCCCTCGGGAGACCAGCTGGTGGTACGCCTGGAATCCTCAGGGCATCGCAAAATGCCGGTCCAACAACGACTCAATCAGCCAAAAACAGAGGTGTTACCATGTGTTACCCATAGAATAGAATGATACACATAGTCATAAGATGTCATAAGGTCATAAGGATGCATAATTGGGGGATGTATCAGTGTTTTCATTTTTTTTCCATCGCCTGACAAATTCTTGTGACATAGAAAACACAGCGCAGTCCCAAATCCCCACGTTTACTCAAATCATCAGGAAAGTTGAGATCTACACCAGCTGAAGCCCAGTTTCAATGGCACGATTGGCCAAAGTGGGAGATGAGAAGTGCACCAAACCCAGGTGACTGTTGACCTTGACTCACAGCGCCGAGACTGGCTTGAGACTAGCTTGATTCATACCGGACCTTCTGGTGAACCAAAGTTGTCCAGCCATCTTGCTGTTATCTAAGATTAACATTGCCTTGTGTGTGATTATGAGAATAGTTGAGTAGGGCCACAAAATCCACTTGACGTTCCGCATGCAAACGGGATGCGAACGGGATGAATTGTGGGGTGTTTGATGCGCTTGATGTTTGATGACAGAACCCGTTGAAACCTCTCATATAGCTATCTTTGGAGCAAATCTCATCCAACGGTTGCCTTGTGGGTTGTATTGGTTCTTTGGAATGGCCAAAACGCGCGATGAAAGGGCATCCAAACCGCCAACCCAACCCCACACCAGGCTGTCACCTCAAAAAAATCTGAAAATCCATCAGAACATTGGGGAAAAAAAAGAACCAAAAAGAACGAAACAAAATACCCTCTGGTAATTTAACATAGCTATTGAAAATGACCCATTTATAGTTGATTGACATCTTAGAAGTTCTTAAAGATGGTGACTTCCATAGCAAACTCAATTCGGCTTACCAGAGGGTTCTTAGAAGTTCTGAAGCAAACTGCCAGGTTTACAGTCGCCTTTTGATATCCCTCACAGCCAGAGAAGATCAAATGCAGCTCCCTCACTGTGGCCGTAGCATCCAAGAGGATCTCCAAACAACCCATGACGCCATGGTCAGGCGCTGGGCGACTTCAATGGGTCTGTTCTTAGATGTTCAAAGGAACACATATACAAATATAATCAAATATGTATATTATAAGTTTAAGAAAGTTCATTATTTATCTTGATGTTTTCATGTTTCCGATCCATGGCAACAAATTGGGGTACCCCGCAAGTCTTGGAAAATCCCAAATGTGTCCAAATGTTGCATGTTTGCGCTCCAGTTGCCCTTACCTTGGAGTTTTTTGATGTCGAAATATGTCGAAATGTCATGCATCAGAACTTTGACTCGGCATCAGCTGCAAATCACGGACTTTGATAACTTTGATTCACTTGGCTGCGCCATCTGTCCCTGAGCCTTTATGGAGGACATCTGTTCCAAGTGACGGCAAAACATAGCCGATGATGCAAATGGCTGCGCCAGCTGCAAACCTTGCCTGTGCTGATATCTTGCACGCGAAAATACGCCCTTCATCATCTATAGAGGATTTACAAGATGATCTATTCCCTATATATTGGCAACTCATGGGAAATCTAGATTCTAGATGTTTAATTGGGTGAATTTTGGATGACGTCCTGATATTTTTCACTTAAACATTGGGATTGTCCCCCTCGATAAAAAGTTCCAGAGCCGGCTTCCGAGGCACACTGATCGCTGCGCTCCTGGCGACATCCACCTTCAACGGACTCAACTTTGATGAAATTACATGTTTTTAAACGATAAACGTGAAAAGGCCGTGAAAAGTGAGTGAAAAGGCTGTAAAGAGCCAGTGACAATGTGGTTCTCAATGTTTTATAATGTTTTCATAGTTTCCTGTAATAATTGTAGCCTTTTAGTCAAACCTGTCCTTTGTGATAACGACCTTTCCTTTGGAAGCGCTGGGTACTATATATACTTACATCCAAATATCACGGCCCGGTTTCAGATGTCTGAATTCTCATGGGGATTCTGTGACAATCCAACTTTCATCCATCAGTCCATTTTTGGAAAACTAATCTGGAACACCTTCCCCTTGGCACCTTAGTCTGCATAGCCTCCACTGTCTGTGTTGCCAGCAGACCTAAAGCTGTCTGCCAGCGCGCTGCCTTTTCACAAGCCTAGGATGAAGATTGGACTATCAGGAGCTGTAGGAGTCTGAATTTCTATTTGGGTTCATCATCCAAAATCCCAAAGATGGACAGGGACCGAATCAGGATCATGGAAACTTTGGAAACCACTTACCATTCCGATACCTACATTGCCTATGGATGCCTATGGGCCTATCATCCTGTCAGCCAGCTTTGTCAGCTCCGTGGCTGGGAAATAGGAAGCCAAGCAACACTGATTGCAGCACAGCAAGCCACCCTGGAAGCCGGCACCTTGTCCAAAAAGGACAGAGCCAGCTGCCATTGAGCGCCTGCTGACACACCGCGGCGCGGCAAGGTGTGTCGTTTTAAATGATGCTGGACGATGCTGGGGTACCGGGTAGCAGCGTCTGTAGCACAAATGAGTTGGACATCGCCGGACAATGTTGGAGAATTTTGTGCTTTTGACTTCATTTAACTTTTTGAACTGCCATGTTCCACTGTTCTGGGCCCTGCTAGCTGCAGTGAAAGCCCCCACCTTTCTCAAACGCGCTGATGCAGGCGCCATGGATCACCTCATCTTGACGGATGCCTCGGGCTACACTCAGGTATGGGCCAGACTCTCTTCTCCAACGGTATGAAGATGCTGACCAGTTTCAAATCCTCAAGTTTTGGGATGGATGGATACGGATGGTTGATTGATTTTGTGCCCGCCTATTCAGATCTGCAGTCCAGCCCCTTACACGCAGTCCAGCCCCTGCCCTGGCCTTCGTCCAGGCACTGCTGATGTAATGTCAACGCGCATTCCCATGCTTCGCCCTTCTCCTCAGTTGTCTGGCGACTAAGGCGTGGCCAAACAAGCACAGCAGCACATCATGGGAATGGACCATTTAGGGCAACTATCCCCAAATGGCTGACGTTTTCAGTAAAGGATTGCAATTTATTATAATACTTTGTCCACGTCATTGAAAGTACTTGATATTTATCTATATTTATATGTATATATATATATATTGAAAGGTGATGATCAACCAGACTTTGACAGCAGATGGTCTGGTAATACCAATCATCTTGACATGTCTTGACCATCTTAACTTGACTTGAACCTACTGTATCCAAAATGATCCGGTTGGACGTAGCTGGCACTGCGCATCATCTCATCAAAACTCACAAAAATGCCCAGCGCAAAGTTCTTGCATTCCATGGCATCCCCTGATATCAAACCAGTAGCTAACTCGCAGTCATGATCCGTCCCTAGCTAAGTGGCACAAGCACTGATGGCCGCACCATACCTGAACAGTGCAGCGGCGCAGCTCATTGATCATTGGTTGATAGCAGCACCCAGCGCAGCTTCTGGTTGGCCCCCCAGGATTCGTAGCTACCGTGAGTGGAAAGTACTACAGTTTGGCTGGCGTCTGGCTTTCCAATCTTTGCTATCTTTCCATGTCCATTGATATGATATGATTGATGGAAATTGATGGAAATTGATGGAAATTGATGGAAATTGATGGAAATAGATTAAAATATATTAAAATATATTAAATTCAAAATTGGCCTTTCGCTGGTTTTCCTGTGCCAATGCGGTGTCGCCTTCCAATTTGTCCCTAATTTCCGCATCGCTACCGCCATGGTGCAGAATCTGATCTTTGCGGACTCGCCGCTTTTGCATTTCGTGGAAAAGAACTAGGGCCTGCTGCCACCGACCCGCCTGTCGAATTCAACAGCAAGGCAGGTGACAGTTGGCAAAGATGTTCTGGTCATCTGAGGGCTTGTCACTGCGTTTCAATGTTGGTACCATACAGACAGAGGGAAACCTACAGGAAACCATGAAGCATAGTTTTTGGACTACAAAAAAAAAACACATAATGGGGTTTTCCGACTATTTTCTCACCCCGTTTCCGTAGCGTGCCTTCTCACAAGCACTAATTCCCGCACTGTAGGAGATGGTGTCCTGCGGCTGCTTAGGATCATCCTGGGGATGGAATCAGATCTGTCAGATGGACACTCAAAATATCTCAAAATCTTTCAAGAGATACGCTAAAAGATCTAAAAGATCTAAAAGAACAGTTAAAGTACATGTCAAAATATGTTAAAATATATATGTTAAATATTTATATAAAAATATATTGAAGCACCAGACAAGAATAAAGTCGAGGCCTTGCTGATCATCTGCTGCTCCATCTCCTTATGCAGATGCCTCAAGATTGGACGGCAGATCCCGGCAGTACTCCTGAAATGTCTGGTGTTGCTGATTGTTACTGTTATATATTGGTTAGTAGTAGTTAATCATGGTTAATAATGGTTAATAATGGTTAATAGCGATTAATGATGGTTAATAATAATATATATATATATGTATATTATCTATCTATCTATCTATCTATCTATCTATCTAACTATCTATCTATCTATCTATCTATGTATCTATCTATCTATCTAATCTAATCTAATCCAATCCAATCCAATCCAATCTAATCTAATCTATCTATCTATCTATCTAATCTATCTAATCTATCCAATCTATCTATCTATCTATCTATCTATCTATCTATCTATTCATCTTATCTTATCTTATCTTATCTTATCTATCTATCTATCTATCTATCTGTGTGTGTGTTTTATCCAATTTCATAATGTTTTAGTTTTATCTGCTGTCGAGCTGCAAGGACCATTGCCAATGGTGGCTCTTTTCACACGCACTCATTGTGCTGTTGAAGGCTACCGTGCTGCTTGAAATGCCAAAGCTGGAAGCGTCACCTGCGCGGCAGCCCAAAGGTTCTCAGGAAAACCCGCAGAACTTCCCAATGGATTTGAAATTGCGATCAAAATATCTCAAAGTGATCCAAAGTGGTCTAAGATGATCTAATAGTCTAAGAACTTCTCACTTCTCACAGATCAAAAAATCCACATCGATCCCAACCTAACTGCCACAGCGCCCGGCTCCAGTCGCTGCATCGTTCGCAGGCGCTCAAGGCGCTATGAAGGTGAAACTCGTTGGGAACGATGCGGCTGGAATTCATGGCCTGCAACCTGTAGGGATCTGCAGCAAAATCCGTGGCCTTTTTCCAGAAATCTCAAAATACCTGGGGGAACAACCGGTAACAAGGATATCAAGGATGATGTTAACCCATGTTAACCCCAAATGTTATGATAACCCCTCCAGGTTTAGTAGGGAGGATACTCAATCAAATCGTAGTAATCCAAGGTTGACATTAATTTCTCTTTCTAGTGTTTGTCCACGCTCCTTTAATTTGGCATCATTCTTGGGCCATATTTTTTGTTGCTTGGGCTATCATGTTTGAAGGGGTGCTGAATCATGCACACCACAGCACCTGGCCCGCAAATCAACTCCAAATCAATGCACTCGATTGAAACAAACAATATCGGGATAAACTACCCAAAAAATGCCTATCCCCCCTATCAGTGAACTGGTGCCTTGTAAATGCTTAGGTTAACATTATCTTACCCTCCAGGCATATCAAAAGAAGACTAAATACTGCCACTTGAGACGTGCCACAGGATGCAAGCGGCTCTGGATCGTCGGGCCGAACGGAGCCTGCACAAGACCTGACTTGCAAGCTGGCCAAGTTCAACATTGATATGCCGATACATACTGCCAGACGCGTGGCAATCGTTTCAGACAGCTCACTGGCTGCCAATGGCATCCGATGGCATAGAACCTGAACCTGTGGTTTCGAGCAATTTCTAACCTCCCGTAAGATCAAGCGTTTTTTTGCGACTATATAATCTATCTATATATATATTATAAATATATATATTATATATATTATATATTATATTATATATATTATATTATATATATTATATATATATATTATATATATATAGCAGTTGCTTTCTCCAGGACTTCGCACGGTTGCCATGTCACCGGTTGCCTCCCATCTGTGGGTTGCTTCTCAAAAATGTGCAGCCCTTAAATCCTTATCGTGTACAAATCATTCTTCATCAAAAATATCTCAGAAGAAGCTATGCATGTAAATGTACCAATCTTGAAGAAATTGACCGTGAAAATTGACGCATTCCTCCTAAATTTCGAGGCACCCTCTGGCGACTCTGGCGCCAAGCAGCCTGCGTGGCCAGGGCAGGGTTCTTCCTCCATGAGCCAAGCACAGGACGTAAACGCTCTTCCCAAGCTCCTCGCCACTGGCACTTGACCATCATGCGAGCTGATGGCATGGAATAAATGAATAAATAAACTAATCAATAAATGTATATAAATGTTACATATATGAGTTGCGGACAAAAACTATTACTATGGACACCAAACTCTGGAAAGATCCATAATAGGCCTTGAGACCTTATGTGCTACCCCCAAGTGGCACTTTTGGAGATGTGGCTACCATCCAACTCGTCCAACTGCGGAATCACTCCTACTTCGTCTGCAGTCTTCAGGAATCGCTCCAAATGCATCACATGGCGGCATGGTGGCCATGGCTCACGTCCGGCAGGGGTCGCTGGATGACCAGCGATGGTGGATAGCACAGGGCAAGTTTCTGCACTGGTGGATGCCTGCCAACTGTATACGTCATGATGGTAGATGATTGTGGCCCCAAACTGTGGAAATGCCACTAAATTGCTTGCAACACTCTGAAAGTGACCCAATTGGTGCCACGGCTTTGACACATCCCCATACATGTGGCTAACGGTTAACGCAAAAATAAACCACACCCAATGCACCAAAATGGAGTAAAGTAAAACCATGCCCCAAAACTGAGTTTCAACATGTTTGAACATTCCAATTAGAAATCAATGACGTATACCTATATATGACATGTGTCTCATAAGAATTATTGGTTTAAAACCTTCCATTACATCATACACCATGAAATCAAGTGACACAATAAAACTCCCCAGTTTACATTGTGAAGTGGCGGTTTATCAACAAAAAAAATATATAGTTTTTTTTTCAAAAAAAAAACCTGGTACCAGTACCAATCGTAGGCCTTTCGAACCGTCTCAAAGAGTTCGGTGTCGCAGCCCAACATCATCTCTTGAAGCCACATGTCGTCCTTGACAACGAAAAATTCTGAGGCGTCAACATGGCTAAAAACATGATATTCATGGGATTTAATGGGGGATTCATGGGATTGTGGTCATATAATATATATATATGTGTGTGTATATGTTATGTATATTGGGACTTAGTGTTTAATGGGTTTTTTACAGGATTTAACCAGCTCAAATGGGTAGATAATGGGTATATAACCCATGCTACAAGCAGCCTTTGGGAATCAAACATTGTCGATGGTTGGCTGGTAAATCTCCTATAAATCGAGGTTTGTAGCTATACATGGTGGATTATCCAAACAAGATAGGAAAAAAATGAAAAGTAATTTACCATTGTGTTGGTATACGGTGTTATTCTTGTATATTTTGGGGGGGCTGCTAAATCTGCAGACAGGACAATCTGTACATATGTTTTTGTAGATTCAGATTGTGTGGAACCAAAAAATGGTTGTAAGTTACTGCAAAATCAGAAGGAACATCATCTTTCAGACCCAATGTTTGTTAAATCTAGGGGTGTACTGGGGGAAAAAAAATAAAATGGATGCAACAGGAACCAAATTGCAGAAAAAAACATCATGACATACCACACATACCTGCAAATACATAATTCCAATAATAAAATATATACAATTATACAAGTATATGCATATCCTTGTAGCATCTGACCCCAAGCATAACTTTTATCATCCAAGATCAGCATCTTTCCTGTCAAAGCTTGGCCCATCCCTGGCACCATTTCCAGCCGGCTGGGTCTCCCGCAATCTTCGCTTGCATCCGTTCCACCTCGCCCTGCCCTTCCCTGGCAATTTCTGCATCCCAGGAGGATGGAAAGTGAAGCACACTTGAAGCCACCGAACTCATCCAACATCAGCTGAAAGCCCCATGATTGATTGGTTTTTAATCCCATAATTGAGCAGCAGCAGCGAAATATATATATATACATAGTAGAGTAACTGGTTGTACTCCTGCTGTTGTGCTTTTCCCATTGCTTTCGTTCTGCTTTCGCGCGCAATTTTTTGAGTTCATTTTCGCAATGCCATGTTGGATATGGTCACTCACGTGGCGGCTTTCGCCGACCAATAACATCAAAAATAAAAATATGCCTTATTTTGTAAATGTCAATGAAGTAGATTTGACCGTGTCATTTCTAACTGTCGCAGGAACTTTCTCAACATTTCACGAGAATGGCACTTTCGCGCTGCTTTCGCGCCTAGGGTTTAAGCTCTCGCCACAGGCACATAACTTCAAAAAGAATCTCTACATGCCATTTACGTTGATTCTGCTCAATTATGCTCAATTTCTGTTCATTTATTAATATAAACATGATTGATTTACTAGAATTGATTATATAGATAAGAACTTAATCCCCAATTATGGTTGGTTTTAATCCCAATGTGACGTTGATTCTACATGTGTACATGATTGATGTTTACCATATTTTACGGTATTTGATGAACTAGACATGAGTTTATATTATATATTATATATTGTATATTATATATTATTATTATTATATTATTAGTATTATTATTATTGCCCAATTATAGTTGATTATCTGATTATCTCAATTTCTGGTTGGTAGTTTTCCCAAGCGGTTCCGCTCCTGCGCCACTGCAAGTAATGCCGGAAGAGTTGACCTCGTGAAAAACCCGTGGCCCGTTCACCCCGGCCAAAGAATGCATGATGGCCTGGTGAGCCTGGTTCTTGATCATATCATATCATACCAATTCACATCATATATCATCATATCATATGTATTTATCATATCACCATCTATAATCATCTACAATCATCTATATAATATATATATATATATCATATATATATACACGTATATATATATATACGTATATATATATATATGTTTTTTTCAACCAGTCCCAAAGACGTTGATCAACTTGCACTCAAATGAGGACCAGCTTTTTGGGGGGCACAGGTCAGACATGAAACATCATGAAACCTTCAGCTTTTTTGTCCTCAACACCCATGTCCTGGACAGCTCCACAACTGAGAAACACAACCCTTTTCCGCGCGCTGTCTCTATATCACTCACCCGGCCCTGCTTGGCAAACACCGGGGCATCCCCTGGCGCTCGTGGCCCTGGCCATTCGTGGCCTGATAAGAACCAGATCCAGGTGCGGCAATCGCATCCAAAAGCACGGACGTCAAGGACATTCTGCAGAAAATCCAAGAAAATCATTGAAAATCCATGTTTAAGCATGATTGGATGTTGATAAAGACTACCCCAAATGCAATAGCAGGTCGGAGAACAGAGGGGATTCGGAATGCCTGGTTTCACAAATCTGCTATGGTCTCATATGCTCTCAAAATCAAGCCGAAGGGGCAGGCAAGGGCACCCCGAAGCGGCAAACGATTCATGGAGAAGTAAGAACTCCCGCAGCTGAAGATGTGACTATGTGGGAAAAAACACGGAACACAATAGATATGAAACATGGTTTGTGGATGTGGATTAAAAATGCATGGACCATGGAATAAAAGGAAAGGACCTTTTATAAGCAGCCAACGTCCCTTGACAGATCTGACAGGAAGGTCGGTAGGTCATACTCTTGTTGAAGGTACAGCTTGCAGACGTCCATCCATTGATCAAAGTTGTGCATCTGGTGGAGGGTCAGGCACCTTCAGGCTGAATTCCTTGGGATTCGCCATTAGAATACGTAGCACTAAGACACTAGGATGGTATGGTGCGGATGCATTCCCCACAGTTGGCATAGCAATTTCCTGAACCATTGAAATTCAGCTGTTCCAAAAAACGACAAATAAAGTTTAGCCAGCATGTCAAAATGATTCAAAATGAATGTCGCAGTGGGGGTTGACCAACGCATCCGAACTCTACCTTCTGAGAACGGAGGATATCCCAGGCCCACCTCTTCCCCAAGTGAGGGAGGATGTCTTCCATCCTCTGCTGGACTGCATGCAGAAGCTAATCCGGCCATGCGGCTTTCAGCCGGATGGAATGTTGAATTAAGATTTGACAATATTAGACATCATATTTCATTTTCTCCGAAATCTGGATGATTATCTTAGAATCCCCTCGGCCACGGCTTCACAAGGCCATGAAAATCGAAGACTTGGCGTCATCGTCGAAGCTCTACCGGCTTGCTGTGTTTCCCATCAGCCACGCCACTGCAGTGCCGCTGACATACCGCCAGTTGGGGGAGCCGTCTTCACCTGGAAAGTTCAGTCGGGATTTGCACCAGGAATCCGGATGTGGGGATCCAACCATATACAACCGGCATTTTAAAATAAGGTGAGAGTACAACCTCGTCCCACCTGGAGCTTCCCGCGCTTCAAGTTGCAGTCCTTGGCTCAAACTTTGAACACCCTAGATTCTGCTTCCTAAAGCCATAGACCTTTAAAGGAACATTAAAGGAACCTTAATTAAAGTGAACCCCACTGCCATCATAACATATCACAACATCTCACCACATTGCCGGGCGTCGGTGCTGTCTGCCTCAAAAACGCTACATCGCACATCTCTGGGGGAGCAAAGGCCCTTACGATGGGATCGACCTTCAATGCCGTAGACCGTGGGGCTCTTGGGTCCTGCTGGACTGTGACTTCTGGGGCTCCCCTCAACGAGCCCGCGGCCCGCGCGACGTGGGGAGAACTCACCGGCACGGGTGATGGGCTTCGGAGACCAGGAAAAGGGACTCCAACGCTCCTGGATGTTAGTCATGGCAGCCCACACATCAACGCGACCTTCAACCTCTGAGAAATCAGATATACCCAGGATACCCATGTTTTTTTGTCTGTTTTTAATTGTTGTTGTACGGCGTAAGCATACGTACCAGTAGCTGCTTCATTGCTCCAGCGCTCACTGGAACTAAACAATCCCACGATTTATCATGCCTTTAGGTCCACCCCCCAACCGAACCTCCTGGCCATCTTCACCAAACCACATGATGGGCCTTGCTGTTTCCATGGCAATGGCCGCATCTTCTTTGCTCTGGCGTTCCGGTAGCGCCGGAGATGGCTTGAACATTGTCCTGACACTGCTGGAAAACCTGACTCCACTGAGGGCTATTGAACCCCCTCAAGTGTCACATGTAGCAACATCTGGCCACAAAAACTGCACATCCCTAGACATGAACTTGGAGCCCCAAAAAAGGGTTCGGAGGATGATTTCTAAATATGTTTCAGGGTCCTGCAGTTGGGCATGGGTCATGGTCACCCCATGTTCCCATAGGTATTGTATTGTATTGACCCTGTTTTGCTTGACCTGGTTGGCGGTTCCACCCGCTCCAAAAAATGATGCTCGTCATTGGGGATCATCATCATCCCGTTTTTAACCGTTTAACATATGCTTAACATACAGGAAAGCGCGAAACTCATGCCTAAGTCACGCCTGTGTGCTGAAAATCTGCTGTCACCCATCTAAATGCAGTTTCAAGGAAGTCATGCCTATGTCATGCCCGCAACCCAAATCACCATCTATAATGCAGCGGAAATGTTTGCTTCATTTTGATTAACTGGTACCAGTAGCAGCGCACAAGGCGGTGGCGGTTTCAAAGATAGTAAACCTATAGCCTATAGGAAGTGTTGGGTTTTGAGTTGCATGGGCGGCAGAGCAAGCCGCTGATGGATCAATTTTGATAATGGTTTGTTGTACTGTAAAATGAATAGTGAATCTGAAAGTGAAGTGTGAGATAAGGGATATGATATATAGTAGGAAAAAACGACGTCAGAACGACGCCCGAACGACGTCCAAGCGACGTCAATTTTTTGCCTAGGAAAGGCCACTCCCCACCTGATGGCTCAACAACATGAGACTTCTAGTATGTTGAGCATAAACGAAGAAATGGCTACGCACAAAGCAGAGTTCCTGAAAATTACAACTTGAAGTATGAAAATGATCAAAACACCACCTAAATGCAACGACCAAGTCTTAAGTAACTCAGATGTGAAGTTTTCAACCGACATGCCAAACACCACCTCAACGCAGGATTTATATAAGATCATAAGTTATCATAAGTCCAAACTCCAGACATGAAAGCAAGAAAATCATGCATTTCCTATGCGATTCATAAAACAAGGCATGACTTTTGAAAATCAAGTGCTCCCAAGCTATTTTCAACGATTCCCACTAATCTAGGCACGACTGTAGCAACTCTCTGTATTAAGACCATGCACCAACCATTTCTGTCCTTAAGGATTATTAAACCGTATTAAACCTCCCAATTCTGGTTGGTGAAACATGGTGAAACCATGTTAAACCCTTGCTGGACCCCCAATCCCATCAGCCACCGAGAGGCAATGGCTGAGCCGCTGTTACTGGGACGAAAGTTTCCACCGCCCGGCGCCCAGAAAGCCGCAGTGCTGGCGCACGACCGCGGAGGCGGCGGTGAATTGGCTCATCCTCCGGCATGAAGCTATTTTAGCTAAGCCCTCTGCCAAACTGTCTTGCCAAAACTGGAGAATACGTAAAACATGATAAAACCATGTAAAACCCATGTAAAACCACCAGTCTTGAAGTTGTGCAGATTTTCATTCGAGCAAAAATCCGCGCTTTAATGTGCTCAATCACTGCAGCAAAGCGGGTTCAAGGCCGAGGCATTGTCGTTTTGCTACATTCCATTCTCCGATTCACTCGCAAAAAAATGGAAAAGTAAACTTATAGTAAACTCCTATACTAAAAGTGATGAAATTCCTCTCCAATCTTTTGGGGCGGCTTATACATAAAATACATTAATATGCATCAAAAATCATCCTACTTATCAAATATCTCATCCTGACCGCGTCCTCCCCATTGAGGATCTGCGACATCAAGCTCCGTGGGCTCAAACTCCGACGCTTTGTCGGGAAGGACTCCTGCGCAGCCTCTGGAGGGAAGTTCTCCTCGGTGCGAAGGGATCCCCGGAAGGGCGCCTATTGGAGGTGCTTAAAGAAGGCGTTTTAAGGTTCAAAAAAAGGTGTCCAACAAGTGTGGATTTTGAAAGGGGTGGTTAAAAAATGTTAAAAATAAACATGAAGGATCGTAAAGGTGTTGAAGGAGGTGTGCCAAGTCGGAACGGTTTAGTAACCAGGGTATGCTATGACTGCTATGGGATAATGACTGCTACTGCTGTGGCAAAATGACTGCCCGAACATCCCCAAACCATGGATTGAAATGATATCAAGGTTCCTATTTTTTCACCATCCCAAAAAATTACCCTCTTGGGATTGTGTGTGTGTGCGTGTCTCTGTGCGTGTCTGCCGCTTGAAATTCAAAATTGTAGCCTGTACTCTTGGAACGTCCCAATTGTAGCCACAAAATCTGGCACATGCTTCTTGAACAGGAAACATCAGGAAACCTTGAGACCTACAAAACCAGGATGTACATGCAACGTCAAACGTTTGGATGCCTTTTTGTGGGTGTTAAGCCTCATCATGATTTTGTGCCTCATCATCGACTCTGACTCAGGGGCACCCCAAAGCACAAACCTTCACGGGTGTCGCAACATGCCCAAGGGCTCGCAAAAATGATGGGTATACGGTTGCGGCATACGTATGCCTTGATTCTGTACTACTAGAAGAAGTTCTTGGGGCCTGAATTTTTCATACTTTGACTTTATCATCTTTTCGATCTTTTTGGACATGCTCGAACCATACAGGTTCCAAACCATACCCACCTCAAAACAAGTCGCCCCCATAGTCCATGTAGGGGAAAGATTTCGCGCAGCTGCGGATAACCCACTTCTCCGCAACGATCGTGCCCGCACCCCGCCCATCGCAGGAGAGGAGTCGAACATAAACGTGGTCTTCTCCTGATTCCAAATAAAGGACAGGACGGATCAGGACGGTGTGGGCATAGCGTGACACCCGCGGAAGCATACATCGCCCAAAGCCAACTCAAATGCAAGAGTTTGATGGAAACATGTCGACAGCCCTCTGCAATTTTCGAGAGCAGAAAGGCTTTAACGAATTTTGAAATATGTTGTAAGTTTCACTTGGGCATCCGACCACTCCTCACAGAAACTCACCTCTGAATAATTGCCTCTGAGTTGTCATCTTGTAGCAAGCCCAAACCCACCATAAAAAGGATCTGGATAAGTCACGATAAACCACCTTCAACCTCGTTCAGCCATTCCCTGGTCCTCATTGTGGTACGGTCGCGGACTATGCTGGCCCAGAACCAAGGAGCCTCTCAGCCCTTCACCTCGGGCTTCATCCGGCTACCACCGCAAGGCAGAAACTGTCAGAAACTGCTGAAAATGTCGGGGCATGTCGGGGCATGTCGGGGCCAAACACATTATGAGATTGGATGACATTGGGCGGCATTGAAAACACACGATCATCGCAATTCTCCACCATCTCCCATCGCCACCAAGCCACAGGTCTTGGGTGAGGAACTCCTCAAGCGTCGTTGCACCGGTGACCCTCCGGCCTCCCAGTCGAAGGCCACCGCCCCCGATGCCACCACCCCGGCCACGCAGCCCGGAAGCTGCGCTGCCGGCGACGCCGGGCGCCGCTTCTGCGGCACCAGGATGCGGCGGTAGCCGCCGGCTGCTGGGGACTCCGGGTCCGGCGCCATGGCAGGGAGCAGAAGGCGGCTCCCGCAGAAAATGCCACGGAAATGGAATGACCAGGATCAATTTATGTCAATGATGTATGATTGGCTGGTAAAATGTGGTACCGGATTGGGCAGGACTGTGCATTTTAGGACTGTTGTGGCATATAAACCACCTAAACTTAGAAATTACAAATACTGAGCCCCTGAGCTCGGAGCACTATGCCCTGTTCCTTATAAAGATCTGATGGCGTCTGATGGCCCCGCCGACATGACAGGAACGAATCAGCACCAGCTCAATCGATCAATCTGCTGTATGTCATGCAACGAATCAGCTCAATCAATCAAGTCTGTACCAGCCCACTCCCTGGCACCTAGTGGCAGCTGACTCCGCAAGGGAACAGTGCTATTTGAGTTCCTCCTCACCATCGCTGGCATGCCGAAGTGGAAAGCATGATGAGAGGATGTTCTGACAATTGGAGGCCCCCGTGATCATCGTTTCATCTGCATAACTGGTCCAACAGTTTTGAGGGAACACATGTGATCACTTTTGGAACACTCTCGATGGAAGAAATGGCGAATCAAGAGCGTGTGAGATGAATCAATGTATATATATATATCTATATCTAGATTAAATACGTGTGTTCATACATAACACTGGAAACTATAATAGCGTGCCCACCCACACTAGGGATCACTAGGGCTAGGGCTAAATTTCATCAGGAGGTTCGAAGGAGACCTTTTCGAAATTTGGATTTTGTTGCTCAAGCCAGTCCCTTGATTGGATGCTTCAAGATTCAATTGACATGACACCTGTCAATCCAGGGTGACAACCTGGAACACTCAACAGCGGTAAGAAAGTTGATGAAAGTTGCCATCCTCCGCGCTTCGTATTCCGAACCACTGGCACTCCTCCCAAGGCTGGAAACAAAATCAGTGTGGTAAACGTATCCTTGATCTTGCAAAATCATCTTTCCAGATCTTTCATTTCATATATATTAATACAAATGATCTTTCTTTGGTCGTGGAGTTATCAAATGCCATTCAACCCTGATGCGCATACCCTGGACAATTTCAGTCAGGGTCATAACTTGTTGGACAACCAGAATGCCCATCCTCGGTGCTCCTGGTCACCAGCTCTTCAATAGGCTCCTGGTGGGGAATCTTGCGGCTATCCAGTGACATGGCCTGAGATGGCAGGAACTGGACAATCCATGAAAATCCCCCAGTTCGTTCGATGATATTCCCAGCATTTCCCAGCTATAAACCTTCATTTGCTTCGGTGATGTCTCATTGCCACCTTTGACCGGATGGTTTCTATTGGGAATCTCGATCCATCCCGGAGAATGATAACCCCTTTTTGTGAGACTCCACAATGTACAGATCCCCTTCCAGCCTGCGAGGGGTGCAAAGCAGCCCATTGGTTTCAACGTTTTTCAAACATACAACGCTGATGTATTCACAAGTAACTTATAAATAAATTAAACAACTTTGGGCCATCGTTTTCTAATTTCTTACAAACAGGGGAGCTCCAAAACCCTTGGTCTTCCATGTCTTCCTATTAAAAATGACAAAGTTTTGATGACTTTGGGGTTTAGGAAACCCCACTTGGGAGCCTGGGCCGGCCTTTTTGGATTTCCGTTTCCAAATGCCCGAAGCCATTCGCGCCTTCACCTCTGATCCAGTCGAAGCTGGAGGAAGAAGTTGGAGAACTAACCAGAGGAGACATGTCTGGAGATTTTGATTTACAGTACCCGTATGTATACGTTTATATGTTACACCAGTAACTAATAGCAATAGTATTGCGGTACAATATTTATCCTGTATGTTTTTCCATCCAATGTCTCTGATACGGCATCATGGGAACATAAAAATATATCCACTTACCTGGCAGGCCAACGTTCAACAGCAAAGCACCCTTATGTATCCGTACATGAAAATCGTTAATCAATTTTTGACACAAAACCGATGAAACAAAAATTTGACGGCTCGGTCATTTGAAAAAAGGGTGGGTTTGAGTTTGAAACTATTATCCGAAAGATGTACGTTCTCATCGTTCTTTGGATTGCTCATGGGGTTGCAGTCACATACCCCAATCGTCCGTGAATGGACATCTTCGCGGATTTGCACTACAAATTTGTGCCCGCTTCAGCTACACACATATGTATATATATATATATTATACACACATATATATATATTATATATTATATATATATATATATTTATTTATATACACACACAAGCACGCACAGCCGGAGCTCTATACGATTCTATACGAAAGACAACACGGCACCCAAAAATCCACAAAATAACTTTCCCGCGGGTTATGACTATCATCGTCACCATGTTGTCCTGAGAATTGCCGGAAATTGTGTCACCAAATTGTCCACATGGTATTGATACGTTACATTATACCAATACCATTAAGTTTCATGTACTACATTTTACTACGGTATATAATATCATATCAAATCATATCATGGCATGCTATCGTATAAAAATTATGGTATATTCTATTATACTATATTATGTAGTTGAATCATGTATATAAGCTTCCTCATTCTTGGACTGGGAAGCTGAGCCCCGTGCGCTCTTGCTCATTTCGGAGGCAGACGGAAAAAGGCTCTTAGAGGCGCTTTGATGAGACTGGTGGCCCTGCCACAACAACATGGGGGCTGGCCTTACAACTTGGAAGCAAAGTCATCATGATATTGATGGACATTGGGATACTGGCTAATCGCTTTCCCCTAATATTGAACATCCCCCAAGAAACTTTACACATATATACACATATTATCATATATGTGGGACCATTTATGGATATTTATGGGATGTTAAATATTTGGTAGATGGGATTATGATTAATTATTGGGGACGTTTGCTCGATCGTCATGGTCACCGGAGGCCTAATGAAAAACATCTCTCTCCATGGTCATCAGACAGTCTACTTGCTGCATGCCAGGAATATAATATATATATATACACAGTATGTGTACATATATATATATATCATATGATATATGGTAAATATATATATTAAATATATATATATATACATGTGTGGGTGTTTGCGTGTAAAACATTCCAAGACATGTTGAAACATCACTCGCACCATCTCTTGCGACTCTATGTTCGCTGATGGATCACTTCACTTCATCGCTCAACGGCTCAACGCCACTCCATCCCCCCGTCCTGGTAGGAAGATGCCACCGACTGCTGCGAAGAGGACAGGGAAGGTGCTGGGGATGGCACTCGCTCATGCTGCGCTGGCATGGGTGATCCCAGTGGTCCCAGCCGACCTAACCCAGATCTACCCAGATGTGTGTGAGGGCATCTTGACCAACGATATGCAAAAGCATGCAAAAGCATCATACCCGAGCAGTCCACGATGTCATTCACTTGATGAGGTATCATCACAAACAAGAAAATGATATGCATGCTTATCTATGACACATGAAATGTGAGATAAATGTAGTGTAATGACAGACATGAATGCAATATGTCGTGATGCTCAGAAATGCACATACAGGAATCAACGGAGTGCGCAATTTCATGATGTCATGTGATGTGATTGTGATGCAATGTAAAGTAAGGTAGTGCAATGTAATGTAATGTATGCAAAGAAATGTGCTGCACGTATTGCCATGTAATGTCACATATTTATATGGAAGGTGTATCTCTGTGTGTTAAAAGCCGTTGGTAAACGCAGTGTAGATCAACATGTCGATTTACAACATCTAGACGGAAGGTTGTTGCCAATCATATCCTAATGAAGCGCTCATCCTGAACGACGATGACATTGCCTTGATTTGTCCTTGCATTGATTGACTTCTTTGGTACGTCCAAGCACATGCGGAAAGAGTGACCCCATTGCCTACCAGTAGAATTTCAGCAGTTGCTGTGAAGCCAACGGCAGCCCATTAAGGAAGCATACAAGTCGTTGCATGCAACTGCCAAATGCTAGATGAAATTGCTTGCCGTAAAGGCTCAAGATGGCCCAAGCCAGAATGCCAGAAAAAAAGAAACGCAACCTGAAGGAGAACCATGGCAGCAATCTTGCATCCGAGAGACAGAACAGAGGGGAGACATTTGATATATGCCGAAAAAAATCCATAGGTCAAAAAAATGACCTGTGTGCTCTTCTGGCTGGTATCGGCCACACCGTGAAAATCACGATGTTTGCCCTCGAAAAGTCGAAAAGTCGAAAAGTCGAAAAGTTTACATGCCAGGAGATTTCGGCTCGAAAAGTCGAAAAAATCGAAAAGTCGAAAAATCGAAAAGTCGAAAAGTTCGAAAAATTCGAAAAATTCGAAAAGTCGATTTTTTTTTGGTTTTTTGACTTTTTTGCGAAAATTTTCCTTGGAAGAGTGATAAACCCCGTGGGTTTTGGAGGCATTGGAGCACAGGCAGTATCCACGCACAGGGTTTTTTATGGTTGTTTGGTTGCTCTTTCCCGGTCGCATGGTTGGTTACTTTCCAGGGGAGCAGGAAACTTGCAATCAGTGTATCAGAATTAGATTTTGTGTTACTCATGTAATTAGTGGGTTTCTCTATTTTTTTGTGTTGATTTTGTGGGTTTTGAAAGCTGGACACTGAAAACCCACAGAATTGCTGAGCAAGTATTTGGCTCAGGGCTACCAGGGCCACTACTGTCACTAACTGTCTTGAGTTGCAACCAATTTAGAGGCCAATGCAACTCAGCTTGCAACATCTTGCTACCAGTTTAGGGGGCAAATAGCACTCTCCAAGCGTCTCAAGTTCCAGCTACTGTGCCGGTTTGAGGAGTGAAACAGTGTTCGGCGCAGCCAAACTGAGGCTTTCTGGTTGTGTCGCAGGAATTCCACAGGGATGGGGCAGCATGACCCTGATCAACCAACAGGGTTTTGATGGGTTTTGCCTACAGCTACTAACTAGGAGCACGGCCTCTAGAAGGCCGTGGGTTTTTTGTGATCAACGGGGTGTCATGGATCATATTTGATGCGCTCGTGCAAATAGGAATTTGTTTGATGTGATATTTAAGA